TTAGGACAGATAATTGATCACAGAACAATTCTTCCCTTTCAAATTTTATATTGTTTCCAGTAGACTCTCATCAAAATAAACAAATATAGTAGGCTACAAGTGCTACAACGTTTGCATTACTGCACTGGTAGGACCGTGAAAGAATAAGTTACGGTAATTTCATTGTGGTAAGACACCGGTACCGGCACCAGTACCAGTATCGTACTTACGTACTGAGCTACCAGTACCGGTACCGAACCTGTAGGTCTGATATTCCGTTCCGCATACGATAGGCTGTAAAACTTGCATTGCAGCATTAGTAATACCGCGGAAGGAATAAGTCAATTTCACTGCGTTACGGTACCGGTATGGCAACTTACCAGTACCGACCTACAGTAGCTGTAGTACTGAGCAAGACAATCGATCGCGAAACCTCTTGAAATAAGTGTAAAACAGTGTTCCCATGAGTAAAAATAAATACCGCGAAATTTTGTATGAAATATCATATCTCATAGGATTCATATAAAATTTAAGAATAAATAAAAGTAATAGCCTTCTGGGGAAAAATATAATCTTTACTCACTGAAAATTTCAAAGCAATTGGTCCAGTAATCAACGAGAAAAGCGATTTTTTCATAACGATACCAAGAAGAAGACAAATAAGAACAAGAACAACAAAAATACCAAAACGATCGTTATGTCCACTAACGTGTCCAATAAAAGTCTTCAATACTTTCATATAGTCACCCAATGAACTGTGAACCCTATATATGCATAACATAAGTTGACTGTATAATCGTACTAGTATCGCCCCCTCCAATCTTTACCAGAAAACATCAGGTCTGTTTATTGTATTTTTCACTCCGTTTATTTGTTTTTGGAGGACAAATCAATAAATCTATCTATCATACATAGCCCCAGAATCTATCTTTTCCCACCGTACTATTCTAAATAGGTAAGTATAACAGTATTTTGAATCCATAATCAGTATAACACATGATTACTTTTTCAGAATATTACATCCATTTGTTTTTATTGTTCGGAAAGTAATTAAACTAAATCAGTAAGAAACGTGCCACATGTTTTACTGAACTTAAATATTGTTAGAACTAGCTCCAACTTTTCCGTGCTATGAAAATTGTAAGGTTTCAGTCTAAAGTCGTCTTAAAATTTATCCGGCAAACAATATATGTCTGTTTTCTGTAATATTTGTGTAGGTTGCGTTTATGGATCAATCCGGAGTTGTTTCTGAAGTTTGAAACTTTGCTTATTTTCAAGCGTGTACATACATACATACTGCATCAATACTCATACACAGTAGGCCTACTACATGCGCACTATCTCTAATTGTAATTTTATGTCTTACTTCACCACGACAAAACCAAAATACGATGTAATTTTATCGCATTATTGGATCGTTTTTATTAGGTTGTTGTTCTTGTTGGTATTTTTCCACTGGTTGTTAGTTGTTACCGTATGGGAAAATTTCTTTTCTCATTAACTACTGGATCAATTGCTTTAAAATTCTCAGTGCATTATATTTTATCGCTAGAAGGCTATAACTTTATTAATTTCAAAACTTTCTGTGGGCTCTATGTGATTCGTTTTTCACTACAACAATTTTGTGTGATGAAATCTTTAAAATGAATACAAATTGTTTGTAGCGGTTCCTCAACCTCTCGCGTGCTACTCTCTTGCTCCGCGAAAGTCGGAAGCTTTTTGGATGTAGCTGTACTTTAGAAGGTAGGGTAGACTTCTTCTTCGCATTGCCCTTCTTGTTTCATACGATCATACATTTATCACGATGACAAATCCACCTTCTGTAATAGTGAAAAGTCAATACCTCAATCTTTGTCATTTTACAGAAAAATACAAGTTAAAATTATGAGATGTAACACATCATTATATAGACAGCAGATAGCAAAGTCACTGACCCACAGGTCCATATTTTTTTATTACCCCATAAGTCACGAATTATGGAAAAGCATATGTTATATCTTTATAACAAGTAATGAACACAGACTCATTACAAAACTGCACGCGATTTATTTGGACGTCTGTTCCTCAACTCAGTTCAGAACAAAAGACTTCTAAAGTCTAAACAGAGAGAAAACAACTTACGACCAGGGTTGCCAGACCCCAGCGATCAAAAAAAGCCAAATCAGGACATAAAAAAAGCCAGAAAAAGCCAAAATTTTACTAAGTACAAAAGCCCCATGATTTGTCAGATTTTAAGCCCTTGGCAACGTACTGATGGCGATGTAGAGCCATCAGTTCATTTAGTGAGGCACACAAATAGATAGTAAAGTTCCTATAGAACTGTAGAAAGTAAAATAAATATCAAGCGGGCGGCATTATTTTACCATTCAATATATACAATACAGGGTGCCGCTTCAGTCTGTCAGTATGTAATATACCTCCAATATGTTTCTACTTAAACTTGTGCTACACCTTAAAAATTTCTCCCTATATCGTACTTTACTATTGGAAATTTTTTCACTTTTAAAATTTATAAACCATCAATTTTAATAAAAAATTATCTAACCCCGTTCCGCTCACAGGTGGACCACTGATATCTAATTCAGTAATTTTAGCGTAGTTAATCACATCGTTACTGCAATTGCAGAATTAAACTAAAGCTGAAAGCTCACATAAACCATATCAGGCATAATGAAAATTGAGTTATAGGCCTACAACTATTTTTTGGAAACAGAACGTAAACTGACAAATAACACGCAAAACTATAAAAACGAGGCGATGTTTCCAACCCTGCTTGAACATCTGTCTGAGCAGTTGCAGAAACTGCACTTATTTCTTATTGGGTATGGTTAAGAGTTAAAGTAACAAACAAGGAAATCGATGCTCCAGGAAATCCTAATGTTAAGTAGATAAGTAGGCTACAGGTAATAGGCTATTGTTCAGTTGTTACACACTAAATATTGTATTTCATATGATTTTATTAATAGACACTAGAATAGACTTGAAAAAGCCAAAAAAACGCCAAAAAGCCAAACGGAAATTCTGACGCCAAACGCGTTTGAAAAAAGCCAAAAATGGCAAACCGGCTTCAATTTCAAAATCAATAGCTTTTGCTATCTCGCTTTCTATAGAAAGCATTGACAAACTGTTTAGTCTTTCTTGTGAGACCGCACACCTCAAGTATGTTTTAATTAGTTTCAGGTTTGAAAAGCTTCTTTCTCCAGATGTAACTTTTATTGGCATCGTTAAATAAATCCTCAACGCAATGAAAACATTAGGAAATGTTGTAAATCTATTGTTTTCTACCAGGTGTTTAAACTTGACATAAGCCTTAATTACTGGCCTCTTCAAGGTGCGATGGCCCAATTTGATAAAATCGGCCCTATACTATAGTTACTAGTATACCAGTATGCAGATACTGGCAGCAATGCTGTTACAACGCTTATGAAAAAACAATTGAACTGTTAATATCTCTCAGCATGTCTTCTTAGAGCCGTTCCCTTTTAGAGGTGCACGAGCCAAAGTGGACGCAAAAGGTTTTATTCCATATATAGAGAACTACTACTTTGCCATATATTTTTTCCCCACATATATTGGCGTTTGAAAAACAACGAATACGTTTTTTCGCGCGTTTGTTTCATAAACTCGAGTACCAATGTTTATCTCATGTGTAAATTTAACCCTGGTTAAGAAATGTTGGACTAGAAGAGGCATTGAAATCATATGATAGAACAAGCTTCCGACTCCGAACACCGGACTATCAGTACACATTTGTGTGGTCTAGAATCAAAATCAGTTTCTATAAGACAGCCCCTAAGCGAGTCCCTCACCACACAGACGTTCAATTGGCGGAGTGGACTGTATAACCATACCTCTGTTTATTTAGAAACACTTTCATAGCATTACTACAACACGACGAATTAATACACTACTGATTACATTGCTTAGTAAACTAGAAAAAGAACGAACGCCATTTCAATAATTGAACACCACCATCATGTAAATTGGAAAATAAAGAAAAATTCTAAAAACACGTGTAATATATTCCCATGGCTATTACCAACCCATTGATCGAATATTACCTTTCTGCTCAATTGATGAATATAAATTGATATTTTGTTGCCAGTAAACTTGTAAATATATTTGAGCATTGGGTGCAGTCGGGGATGAAGAGTATTGGGATTCGATATATTGAGCTCGCCATCGCTGAAAGAGTTGAAGAAGAAGCAAATGACACCCACCAACTTCGTATGGACATAGAAGATTAATTCACAATCTACTTGGGCCTGTCTGTTTTACTGCAGTACGCACTGTGCTAGTCAACAATATTTTTGAGATGACGGGTGACAGACACTACTACGAATGCATCGATCTTGAGTCATCAGAAAAAGTTGTTGCTTCGATTGCAACTGCGAAAATACACTACTTTATGTTTTTATGAACTGTTATCAACATACCGACCTCAATAATTCGATGGACTCAGCAGTAATATTGGTACTTTCCTAGTATGTCTTAAATGTAAACAATGCAGCTTAAAATGTAATAAAATAGACTGACACTCCTGAACTTTCTATATATATATAAGCCATGATTTCTCAATCGAAAGTTGATACTTTTCTAGCTGGAATTTACTCGAATATTATCCAAGTTTCTGTGACCCTCATGCCCAGTCATTCATGCTCAAAAATATGAACATGAGGATCTAATGACTAACCACAGTGCCGGTAGTCTTTGCGACTGACTTGCAGTGGAATCTGTTATCTAACCATGGAAAAGATTCAGAAGCCTTTCTGGCAGCTCCAACCATGTTTAAGTAATGGAAATTTGAAATCGATCTGTCCAATAGTAGCGGAAAGAAGCGATGTTTCCCAAAAATAACAATCCATAATTTCAAAACCATCCAAAGATCCTATTTCGTGAGCCAACACCTGAATGTGTACGACATCTGATTTGTTCCATATCACTATTTCATGACCTTTGGCCTCTGATTTCCTGATATGCACTTGGCAATTCATGTTATTACAATGATAGGAAACGTGATATATGAAATGCAAAATTTTATTTCAATATTTTTTTAAATTAGGGCAACCTCAAATCAGCAAATAATTATTATTCCAAAAAATCAAAATTGAAAAAATTTTTAGAAAACAATGGATAATAATAAGTAAACTGAACGTCGAAGCGAGAATACAACTACCGTGAAATAGAGTTTGTTCAGTTGATTTTAATTAAAGAACATAGAAACACATGAATCAAGTTTTAGTACACAGTCCAGAGATATCCAGTAGATAGGCACATATTTGAAGCGGTTATGCGAACTTGGTGTAACTTTGATACACAATTTTTTCATGCTATTAATTGGTAGCAGTAAATTCACAAACAATATATATTTGTGTATTAATCTATTAAATTAAATTCTACTAAAGCGGTTTTTTCCCACACTTAAGAATAAAAATTTGTCAATATGGGTGAAATAATCCACGAACGAAATTTTTGTCAAAATGATGATGCGTGATTGATTACGTCATAAATGACGTCACAAAACAATGACTACGAGAGAGGGGTTTATCACTTGATGTCAAACAACTCTATTACCCATGTCGATATTTTCGTTTGGATAAAAAAAAACGGAATTAATAAGAAAACTAAAACATTACAGACTGATGGAACAACCTGGATAAAACATGCGACACTTTTATTAGGGCCATAAAGTATCCAGAAAATAATTTTCGCAGAAAACAGTTAGTTTCCGTGAACAGAGTTACACGGAATTATGGTTTCTGGCCTGGAACGAGGGTTGATTATTATAAGCCAATATGGGTTTCAAAGGTACTTGAAAATATGCACGTGGAACATTCGAATGAGCAGTATAAAATTATAATGAAATACCAATAATAATAACGAGATTAAAATAAATAAAATGTTGCAAAATTGAGAGAAAGTAATAATTTATAAATTCGTAAAAATATTTGTTTGAGACTATATCAATTGTTTTGTTGTCAAATATTATGGAACTTTTTTATAAGTTCATTTTTGCTAATTTTTAGCGAAAAAAATAGACTTTTTTCTTTGTAAAATGACTTTTGATAATGATTTTTACTAAAATGTCATGTGTTTTGAAATCAATAATGAAAAAGTTAGCTTTAGCCTTATATATGTTATAATATACATGCAAAATCCTCACTTGACAAACTACGAAAGTAATTTTGTACAGTAATTGCGCTTGATTTTCGAAGTTATGTAGCATTGTTATCTAGGCATTTCGTGTCATGATAAAACATGGTATATATATGACTGCAGTTTAGTCATGAAATATGCTTTATGTGCTTCTAAGCACATGATTTGAAATAAAAAAAAAAAAAATACAAAAACAAATTTGCTCTTTACAAAAGCAATTAATTAAATATAACAAAATTTTGACTATTAGGTGCAATTTTTTTTATTTGATTGCAGTGGGCGGGCAGAATGTTTTTTTTTTTCGTTACAGAAGGAGTATCATGTAATGTTCTCTTGCGAGGCACAAAGGTTTTGGGCCAGTAAGGCCTGTTGTAGTCTTAATTTTGGCACCAGAAACGTCTCCACTTTCGATTTTATATATTTATTCTCTGTTGATAATCGTATTGAACTTTACCATTTATGCATGGGATGTAACGTCATCTTTGACGTCATGGGCTGGCACTTCAACACGTGGCACAGTGATGGTGTCCGAGAGAAAGGCGGGCGAAACTGCGATCTTTTCTCCTTCGCTTTCAACTCTCTCGTTTTCGCTTCCAGAACTACAGAAAGATCTCTCGCTTGATTTGCTGTGTCGTCTTCCGAGGTTCATGTCTCCATCTTCTCTCGAAATCTTCTTGTTTTTGTTCTGTGGCTGATGCAACCCCCGTAGAAGATGTACGTTGAAATAGTACTTTTCGTGACATTCTTGTCCACAAATGGTGCATTTAAATGGGTCTGATCTGTCGTGACAGCTCATATGCAATGCATGCATGGTGTCGTCTCCGAAAGTGACGTCACAGTGTTGACATGTGCGTCTGTCGTCATCACTGGTGTCCGTTTGGGTACCGAAAGTGTTTCGAAGTTCTGACGACGCCAAACTGGCGATTTTTGAATTTGTCGTATTTGGCGAATTCTATGAAAAAAAAAACATTTTTAATTTGAATTTATATCTCTAAAATTTAATCTACTTGCATAATAATTATACAGGTACAATAGAACATAGTAAACATCATTTCTAGTATAGTTAATCAAGGGCATAACAATTTTCCTAAAAACGGGCTTAAATTACTTCGATCTAGATTTGCGTGAAAGAAAATGACAATAATCCTCCCAATTTTGCAAAGTATATCCTAAACTCTTCTTAAAAACAAATTATGTATAAATAAATAAAGGAAACAAAGATTGTCAAATTAAGCGAGGCATGTTTTTTCTGAACATAACCTTTTCAATGAGTCACCTGTTACGATATTTAGCCATTTAATCATTTTCGCTTGAACAATCCAGACCGCGCAGATCGACGGATCGCGTGAGAGACGAAAGTTAAATATAAACAAATTGTGGCCGACTATTTATCTTAACCGTCCGCTTTTGTTTCAAAACGAGACCGCATCGCGTGATAGACCTTGGCGTAACTATGACAACGCCCAAAACGTATAGACAACGACTGTTTTGAGATTAATTGATTGGTGTTTCTATTTCTTGTTATCATAAATTATAAAATGTTCTCAAATCAAAAATAAAGAATTATCTAATTCTCAAAATAAAATGTTATACTCAAATCGAATACTGAACGCAATCCTTATATTTTTACAGTACTTCCATATTTGGTAATTATTATCCCGTCAACGCCTTATTCATCCAAGCCCCCATTCCCATTGCGTGCATTCGAGTAACATTTAATCCGCACCGCACAACAATACTGATGTCACGTTTTTCACCACCGTGTCCAACTCACTCGACTCAATTACAATTGGAATATAGTCGTGAAATCATTGTTTATGGTGTACCAAACATGAACATGGGTTGTTTTTGCACCAACCATTTTTGCCCCGTATTTTTCAACGTAAATTTTTTACCCAAACACTTAACATTTGTTTATATTTCTACGAAACGATAAACATTACACGCTGTGGGAAACAAGGTGGAATTGACAATGTACAAAATCATTCAAAATAAACGACAAATTTTATGTGTTCGTATTCATTAATAAGTTTGTTTCACTTTGATACGATTCGCATATTATTTCGGCTGAACTGCTTTATAAACAAAAGTTATTTTCAAAAACTTCCACACGCTATGAAGCATTAAAATACTTGTGATTATTGTCAATATTTACCTCAATTTCTTCGTTTTCTTTGCCTGGACGTGGAGATTTTGCATTTTCATTTTCCACAGAATTTCTGAAATATAAATATATCACATAAAAATTGTGAAAATTATCAATAGTTTGATTAATTAAAAAAAAAAATTAGGCGGTAATGGAAGTATAAGTGAAGGATGTGAATATCATTATGTATCATAAATGGCAAACAATTATATGTGTATTTATTTTTAAATAAAATTCGAAAAGAACTAAAACTAAGTTCAAAATAGCTTGAAAGCGATATTTGCATGTGTGTCGTTCCTGTCGCGTGAGAGAACCTTACATTATCGTGACAGCGTGTGTTTTTTTACCGAGAATGTTACATGATTTTCTTACATTGTTTGTTGATGCCCTACTCTCGTTTGGCGACCACGATAAGGCGGAAATTTTTGACGTAAGTATAAATCGCACGCCATGTCGATCAAATATGTTAATTTTAATGCATATAAGGCCGACTGTGGATCATGATTATCGCTTACTTCCAGTTAGAGATAAAAATAAATGATTAAATTACGAGAGAATCCGTTTTGATTTCTTCTGTCAAAAATTAAAAATAGCTTATCTATAAAGAAGCAAATTCCACGAATCACTATATGATGTACCGCATATACATTGTCATAAAAATTCCATGCCTTTCTACCGTGTACCATATTCATGTGGTCCATTTTAACTAAAATTCCTATATATTATATATTTAGGACAATTTAATTTTAGAATACAAAGAAAAACACTTTTCAAACCCAGTTGAAATAATATCTTATACACGAGTTTTTACCATGATATAATTTCTATAATGCTTTAAATTTTCTGCAAGTGTTAAATAAGGACTTTGGGTACAACAAAAAATTTCTAAATAATTTATTTTATTTTTGTTTTTCAAATTCGCCAAATAATTACTAACTCTTCAAATTGCGTTTTTTTGCACTTTTTATAATTCATAAATTGATTGTTATGTAAAACTTAAAATACTTCGCCGTTTTAAAAAAAAATATGAAGACTTTAGCAATTGGGGGTAAAAATTGTCAATAATGGCCAACTCTAAAATTCTGTGTTGATTTCATCTATATCCTTCTCTCTAAAGATCGCGTGAGACATCTGACCTCAGATTTATCCCTGAGGCCTTACGGTTATTTGTATTTAGTTCCTTCACAATAGACGTGTAAACATCGTTGTCATTGAACAGCAGCTTATCTTGTCTTGTTTATGTAATCAAATCAAGTTTAAAACCATCTATTTTTCGTATAATAAACATGGATTACCAAAAACAGACTACCTCTTCGCACGGAATCTAAAATTTGTCATGAAGTGGGCGGGTATATCCGTATACAATTAAAAATTTAAGCAAACGTGATATACCTTTACAACCATATTTCCGGATGTAAATTCGACAAAACCTCACTATTTATTAATAAAATGGATATAAAAAAGTTGAAAAATATTTTTTTTAAATGAATAAATTTTAGTCTATACGGGGTACGAACTGACATGATTCATAGATTTACTAAAATCGCCCCCGTATGACGCAATTCGGGGTAATATGGGTTTCATTCCACTGGGGGCAACTTATTATGACATGTTATTCCTAAAACATCGTATTATTCCTACTCTAAAGTCTCGAAGATAGACACTAAGTGTTTGTACGTTCTTTTCTTCGCACGAATAATTTATAATTACACGCAGTATTACAATCTTTAGGTGTTTTTAAATAATCTAAATTTATATTTTCAATTTTCCCGATTAAACAGAAATCTCAAAAATTTCCCAAAAATAAAATATGAAAAGTGCTTTTAAAAATAAATTTATATGACGAAAACATCGCGTGTCGTAAGGCGTGACTGTGCATAATAGCATTGTGTATATATACATATACATCGTGAATCAGACACCGCTAATCTTTTCGCTTATCTAACCATCGAAAACAATACGCATTGCAGATACCGCAACCTTGAATTTCGGCACGCAATGTTTTTTTGAGTTTCAAAGATTCACGCACGCTATTATGCCGATGTTTGTTTACGGCAGTTTAAAATGTTACCCGATTTTGGTACTATCATCTAACTAAGTATGATCGTGGTAAAATTGATGCTTAATTTTTCAATGAATTTTTTTCCTTGTTTTTCAGCTAAAATACCATATATAGGAAGAAGATTTACTCCCTCGCATTTTTTATCTACTTCCAGTATAATATAAAAGTGAATAAAATATATTTCAATACATTCAAGCAAAATGATCATTATTTCTATTTTTCGTTGTTGACTTAACTTCCCAATCATAATTGAAGTATGCATAGTTTTTATTTAGTACAGATTGTGACTAAATGTCAATGTGATTGTGAATGATTGGCATAGCATTTATTGTAAACGTTCTAACATTTCGTGTTTTTGTCAAAATAGTTTGAATTTCGAAAAAAGGGGAATACGTTCATTCAACATCGCGTGCAAAACTCCTAAAACGATTATTTTCCGCGTCATGGGTTTCCGATGTTTATGGGTCTATTTACGTTAGAGTCACTCGCCTAATCATCTGTACCTGTCATCTTTAAATCAGAGATGTATTGTATTGTAAAATCTAAGATAAAGCCGGCGTGTAGTTTCAAAAAAGTCCGTAAAATCAAACGTGATTTTCGTGTTTATTTTATTTGCATTTCAGTTCGCCGTAACGAGACTGTATATAAGTTGTTTTTTTGTTTACATTTTTTCAAAATATAACATTGAAATCTTTTTGAAATTGCAGGTTTATTTAAAAGTGTGATTTCATCTTGAAGGATAAGCGGTATGTTGCGTGCAACATCGTCGCGTGCATAGATGTGATGCATCTTGAAGATCGCGTGTGTTTATGTTTATCAGTTGAGCCCTAATGCGAGTCTCGTAAATGTCAAAGCCATGTTAACCCCTTGAGAACAAACAGAGTGTTTGTTTATGAAAAATCAAACTTTTTGTGGCGTGGACAGACAGGAAATTCGTGAAATAATGCGGCATTGGTATTATTGCTATGAATGAAAATGGTGTTATCTATATTAGAATCAATTTTCAACTAGATGGTCGCGTGTAAGACAGGGAGATAACGGAATTGCGCATTCAACATAATTGGGACTTTAAACCGCAAATTGGCTTTATTACAGGAATGGGCGGACCGGTGTGAAAACCCGGTCTGTTGGGACACGCAAACTCAAAACTACTGAAGCGAGATTATGGTTGTACGGATGGGTGATCGGGTTTACTACGCTAGAGCCCCGCTGGATCTAATTATTTTCTGCCTGGTATGTCACCTACGTGAGACGCATTTCATTTCATAAAAAGTCATCATAGCTCACATTAATTCTATAAATTAGTCATCTAAAGGGTGTGTGACATTTTTCGAAAAGCAGGTTCTTTATCTGTATATAACCAAAACGTAAACGAGTTAAAATATACAAAGACTCATTTCATTCAAGTTTCGATTTTTAATAAAAAACAAACAATATTGTATATACGACATATTCGTGATAAGCATAATGTCTATATTAAGACAATATTGCTAAGCAATAGATTTGGTTTCCGTGACTGGTGGGTACGATAACACATATCTTGTTTTAATTTATTTACTTATTGATGCGCTCATAAATAAACTTTACATGAAAGAGTATTACAAACAAAAATAAGATGGCGTGCGGGCGGTGAGAATCATCTAAAAACACAGACGGTATCGCTCTCCATCTAAACAATTATTGTCGTGGGCCCGTAATCCGCGATCACGACTCTGGTTTAAGAAGGTGATTACTATATAGCGTGTGAAGACTGTTTTTAAAACTTTGCACTTTTTTTCTAGCTTTCAGCAAGCGTGGGCAATAGTGTAATTGTCAACAAAAAGCGCGAATTAACGTTAAATTAAGGTTGAAGGAAGCGTCGAAATTTTTGGGCAAAATATTCTCTCGTTTTCGTTAAAATCGTTCAGATTTGTGAGTAATGAAATACCACCCGATAGATGTCTCCCTTTCGCCAACCGCAATACAATTTCGCCCGGGGCAAATCGATTAACGGTGCTGATGCGGCGGAGTTTTGTTTTGGTTGGGAAAAGGCGTTTTGTTTATTCGTTCATTTTTACATGCGATCGCTTCTCACGCGAACTAAAAATTCCTGGTATTTATAAAAAATAAATAACCATAAATCGCGTGCGATTTAGCTCGAAAATATGTAATTGAAATTTATAATTGACAGGAGACAGAAGTTCGTCGACATTTTAATCCGATAAAACTTATTTTAAAAATTCTTGTTTATTGTAACAGAGTGTATAATGAAACATCTCATTTTGAAATATTTTTTTTTAACAACAAATTATGATATGTCAGTCATTTTCACCCAAAATACCCCGAGATGACCAAATTTGGTATTGTAAGCGATCACCGTAATCAGATTCATATTACTCAAGTATTTTGGTAAAATTTGGCAGGTACAAAAGTATTGTTTTCTGTTTTTATGTTCATTCATCTTTTCGTTTTGAAAACCGTAAATATCAGTTTTATCTTTGTTTACACACTCATGCATTCACTATTTTGTAAACAAAGAAAGATTGTAAAATTCGCACGCAACCTGAATTTCTTTTCTCTATACTATCATACTTTGGTCAGAATGAAGTTATTTTCGAAAATGGACCGAGTAAAGGTTTTGATTGTTTTATAATCACCAAGGGAGGAAAAGGGAGTAGTTTTTCAATAAATAAATTATGTGAGCTTCAATATTCTACCGTTAACACTTCATTACTTGAAACGCCGAATGAGCCAATATTTTAGTGGATTAAAAAACGATTGTTTATATTTGGAGTCGCCCATTATATGACTCAATCATTAACAGACACGAAAAATTAATCCTAACAAGGTAGCTAACTATATGGTGCGTCGGGCGTTTGTTGAACTGCCAGGTCATACTTGTACATTCTAAAAAAAATTATATTTCTGACATGGTTTAATAAAAAAGTTAATTCTATTTTCACAAAGCCTGTTTTTTCCGTTTCTAATTTGAAAAATGAATACAAATTATTTTTCTTGACGGCGACTTTCCT